GCTTGAATCATGTCTTCTACCTCCAGTGCCCTTCCTGTTTTCCTCTTATCTATCCAGTCTGCCTTTTTTCAAGGACTAACTCAAGTCCTAACTTTTTATAAGGGCTTGCCACAAACACACTAAAAAAATTATATTGATAATTCTTACTGTTCTCCCAACCCAGCTAAAAAAAATACTGTCTCGGTGCCTACTAGACACGACACACTCTGCTAAGTGCTAAACCATGCCTTAGCTGTTTTGTGGTCATGGTTTCTAAAGGCACCAATGCTGAAACTTGTCACTTTTTGTCAAATAGGTAACACATGGACATGGTTCAAATTTCAAAAGCAACATAAAGAAATAAAGCAAAGCATAAGTCTCCCTCCCACACTGTTCTTAGCCTGATTCAGTCTCCCTTCCCTACAGGTAAGTAGCCAGACAGAGCCTCACTTCTTTTCTATCTTCTAAAGCAAGGGACTTTCAAACATTTTAACCACAACCCATTGTAAATAATCCTTTTTACAATGCAACCTAGTTCCTTATGTCCCTCTCATACACACACTCATGTGCACTTACGTAACCAAAGTTTCATGAAATACATTTACACTCAGATAGTTTCTATCCTGTTCTATTTATTCTTTTTTTTAAAAAACTGATCATAATTCCCTAAATTAATTTTGTTTTCGGCCGGGTGAGGTTGCTCACGTCTGTAATCCTAGTACTCTGGGAGGCTGAAGCAGGCAGATCGTTTGAGCTTAGGAGTTTGAGACCTGGCTGAGCAAGAGCAAGACTCCGTCTTTACTAAAAAAATATAAAGAAATTAGCTGGACAACTAAAAATATATAGAAAAAATTAGCCGGGCATGGTGGCGCATGTCTGTAGTCCCAGCTACTCAGGAGGTTGAGGCAGTAGGATTGCTTGAGCCCAGGAGTTTGAGGTTGCTGTGAGCTAGGCTGATGCCTCGGCACTCTACTCCGGACAACAGAGTGAGACTCTGTCTCAAAAAAAAAAAAAAGGTGCCATGACAGAGACTGAATACTGTGGAAGTAAAAAGGAAAGCTAGGTAAAGCCTGTAAAATAGGAATGTAATAGAAACCACCACAAAGGTTGGTTATAAGACTAAATGAGTCAATACATGTCAAAGACTTTCATCACTCCACCCACAAAATACTGGGACTGGGAAGTCAACAGACCTGGGTTCTCATCCACTGCTGCTTATATTATGAAAAGGAAGCCAAAAATGAAAACAATGATTACCTATAGGAAGAAGGAAGGAAATAGGTAGAAGAAATAGGAGATAATTAAATTACTCTGACTGTTCCTTACTTTATAGATTTGACTTTGGAAGTAAGTATTTTTCATAATCTAACAAAACAAAATTAAATTTAAAAAGCAATACCTAAAAATCAAACGTAAAGTAGAAAATAAGGAATTTAATTGTGATTGAGTTGGTAGGAAAAAACTACAATAATAAGACCTATTTCAAGTAACTTTAAAACTCAATAGTTTGTACACAGTGTGCATAACCTGAGGGCAGAAAGACAAATTTTTATTCTTCCTATTACTGGTGATCTTGTTGGTATTGTTACCATCTGAGGCTGCTGTGTGTGTCTTTCAGTGTAAAGGAAATGAGTAGTTGTGTTGGGGTTATTGGGAATTCAGTTTTGTAGCACAGGGAAAGACAGTATATATATACATGCTATAAATATAGGTCATTAAATATGAAATGTCCAATTTCTAATCAAAAGTATAGTTTAGTATATTTCAAACAAGCAGCAGTACAATCAACCAAAGTATGCACCTAAACTATTGACACAGTTTTGCCATCTTAACAGTAGCTTGTTTATGCCAGCAGCAAAGAAGCCTGGAGAATGAATGGCAATGAAATCGTCAAAGGTGTTTTCCACAGCTTGTTGAGAATTGAGTATTTTCCCTTGTAAGAAGTGGTAGTCAGTTGGTGCAAGATCTGGTGAATATGGTGGATGACAGAGAGTTTCCAAGTCCAACTTCTGTAGTTTGAGCAGCATTGTTTTTTCTGACATGTGGTCTTGCACAAGGATGAGATGGTCTGTCTCTATTGAGCAATCTCAGCTGCTTAATCACAAGCATCCTCATCATTTCATCCAATTGGTTCCAGCAGACATCCGCTGTAATCGACTGACCAGGGTTCATGAAGCTATAGTGGATAATACCAGTGCTGGACCACCAGACACCATTAGCTTTTTGTGATGAATATTCGGGTTCGGACTAAGTTTTGGCACTTCCTCTTTATCCAACCATTTTGCCAAACACTAGTGAATTGTCCAAAAGAATCCATTTTTCATCACACCTAACAATACGGTATAGAAATGGTTTGCCTTGGCCGAGCGC